CAGTTTTCCAACAACCCCGCCCCCCCAGAAACTGTTGATGGAAACAGTTTTTTTATGAGAATTTCCATTGAGTCAAAATAAAATCTTTGAGAAAATTGTTGTGACCAGCTCTAAGGCCGATCCTTTGAAAGGCTGGGGGCTTCGCAGTGATGGTGGAGCAGAAAATGACATGCTGGAGTCGTGATGTGACCCCTCAAACATGCTTCAGACATGGAACTTTCCATTCCCACCCTACCCACCACAACCGATTTGGGTGTCTGATTGCACCAGTGTAGCTGGAGGGGAAAGTGTCCCAGGGTGTGTCTAAATTGCAGTGGGAGGTGTAATTTCCAGATCTGACAGACACTCACATGCTAGCTTTGATCAAGAGCTAGTGCGCTAAAAAGAGAAGTGTAGCTGTTGCAGTACGGATGGGGGGTTGGGACCCTACATATGTACTTGGGAGGCTAGCCTGTCATGCCCTCACTGCTACACTTCTATTTTTAGCACACTAGCTTGATCACAGGTAGTGTAGTGTACATACATCTACCCAAGCTGGAAATTACACCTCCAGCTGCAGTGTTGACCTACCCTCAGAGATGGAAGCATCAGGCTGGTATTGATGCATTATATCTATGTTAATCAGTTGTACTCACACCACCCAGGACATGCAAGGGTACTGGACTCAGGTTACTCTGTCATGGCTGAGACCCTTCCAGCAGCGGTGGAGACAGTTCGAAAGTATTTCCCAGAGACATGGATTTGGGATTTAGTGCCTTTGACGTGAGTAGCTGGTTGTTGCTGTTTTAACATTCCCTTATTTTTTGTGATGATAATATGAATTCCTGATGGTTACTGAGCCTCTTTCATCATCCCAAAGTGCTTTTCAAACTCTGTGTATGCAGAAATCACTTAGCCACCTGTGGGCTGTTCCCCAATGGCAGATGTTTACAGTGCAGAACAACACTGCACAAACATCTAGAAAGGAAAGTGAAAAAGAGCCCCATTTCCAATTGAAATTGCAGGGGGAATCTAAGCATTTGGATTGTAATGACCCAGGGTGAGCCTCCCTCTTCTTCTTAAAAGGGTTGTGGGGTCTTTAATTATCACAAGTTGTCAAAATATCAGCTGCATGTGTTATCTGAAAGACAGCACCTCCTCTGGCACAACACCTCCCAGCACAATGGGCTCAGTGCTAATTCAGAGGGGAGAGCACCCCCTACTGAGTCCCCACATCACTCCCTGAAGCACTGCATCATACTCGAGCATTGAGCTCAGTGTGGACTCTGAGGGGAGAGCATTATCTACTGAGTTCCTCACATCACTCCCTGGAATACTTGGGTTTTCCTTCAGTGTCTGACCAGGCTGTGATCACGATCCTATCTCTCTTTTTGTCACCAGCTCCAACGGAAGTGCTGAATTGCCCTTGACAATCCCTGATACCATCACAGAATGGAAAGCTAATGCATTCTGCACCTCAAGTGACACTGGCTTTGGCCTGTCCCCAACCGTGTCCCTCAGAGCCTTCCAACCCTTCTTCGTGGAGCTCACCCTGCCCTACTCCGTGGTGCGTGGTGAGGCCTTCACGCTAAAGGCCACTGTCTTCAATTACCTGACCCGCTGCATCAGGGTAAGAGACACTCACACCATCCCCGTGCAACCAAACCCACAGGCCACACTTCTCTGCTTCACAAACTCCTGTGTCTGTAGCTCTTTTTAGCCTTCGGTCTCCCTGCAGCCCCTGTCCTCCCCAAACACCTGTGCACCCAAGCCTCTATGCTCCTGTAACTCCCAAGCACCCCAAAGCCCTGTAAC